CGTGCAGTCCGAGCGGGCAAACCAGGAAGCTCAAGCTTCCTCCCACGCTTGGTCGGGTGCACCCTGTTTTTCATGTATCTAGGGTTAAACCTGTGTTGTATTCCCCTCTTGTTTCCTCCTCCCCAGCCCCCCTCCCCCCGTCTAGTGGATGGCTCCCCAGTCTATACCCTGCGGAAGTTGCTAGATGTCAGACGTAGAGGTCGGGGCTTTCAGTATCTTGTGTGTGCTGTTGGTCAATGTTCCTACCCCTCAGGTCTACTTAGACCAGCCCAACCACTCTCAAAAGGTAATGCTGAAGATAGTCAAGGTCTTACTGCACAATTGAGAGAAAGTCATGGAAACATACGCAGTGCTGGATGATGGTTCAGAGCGTAGCATTGTCCTGTCTCAGGCTGTAGACCAGTTGAATCTCCCTACTGAACCCGAAACAATCACTCTATGCATGGTCCATCAGGATGTAGTTAATCTGCACGGAGCCACTGTTTCCCTTCATGTGTCACCTTTGCACAGACCATGCAGGAAATACCTGATTCATCATGCTTTCACCACAGATAACCTGAGACTTTCCGAACATTCTTACCCTGTGTCCGCTCTTCAGCGCAAGTATGAGCATATTAGGTCCTTGCCATTACCCTTGATAGACCGAGCCTAATCTGTATTGCTCATCGGGTCTGACATGCCTCACCTGCTTACTCCTGTTCAGCCAGTGTGCATGGGACCTGCAAATAGACCGAAAGTGGGCAAATGACCCCCCGGACCCCCGCTGACCACTGCCAAGCCACACCCCCATCCCACGAAACTACTATTTGTCCAATTACCCACTAAAGTGGGCAAATGACCCCCGGACCCCCGCTGACCACTGCCAAGCCACACCCCCATCCCACGAACCTACTATTTGTCCAATTACCCACTAAAGAGGGCAAATGACCCCCGGACCCCCGCTGACCACTCCCAAGCCACGCCCCATCCCACGAGCCCACTATTTGTCCGATTACCCACTGTTTTGGCCAAATGTTCTGTTGACCTCCGCTGACCGCTCCCAAGACACGCCCCCATCCCACGAATCCATTATTTGTCCGATTACCCACTATTTTGGGCAAATGTTCTGTTGACCTCTGCTGACCACTCCCAAGACACGCCCCCATCCCACGAACCCACTATTTGTCCGATTACCCACTATAGTGGGCTAATATCCCAATGACCACCGCTGACCGCTCCCAAGCCACACCCCATCCCACGAACCCACAATTTGTCCAATTACCCACTATTTTGGGTAAATGTCACACTTGCTACATTCCCACTTACAATTTATGCCATTACAGAAAAGAATGGGTCCGTGGACAGTTGAATTTTGAGATGAAACTGGGTGCTGTGGACTCAGGGGGGCCTGCTGAGTGCAGTAAAAAATGTTTTATCATGAATGCACCTTGATTTAAAATGTCCAAATAAACACTATCTGGAGCCCATGCAATAAGTCTGAATTGGGACAATCATCTCATTTGCAATTTATTCAGTGGGATCAGTATAATAGTTTAGTGGGATTATGCTATTAAATAAATTGGAAGTGGAATATGTGTCCATTTGCAATTTACTGAATGGGATCGCTACAATAGGTTAGTGGGATGATTGTCCTCTAACCACTTAAAGCATCCCCATACAATAAATTGCAAGTGGGACATATGTCCATTTGCCATTTAATGAATGGGACCGCTATAATAGGTTAGTGGGATGATTGTCCACTAACCACTTAAAGTGTCCCCATACAATAAATGGCAAGTGGGACATGTGTCCATTTGCCATTGAATGAATGGGATCGCAATAATAGATCCCATTCGTGGGATGACTGTCCACTAACCATATAAAGTGTTCCCATACAATAAATTGCAAGTGGGACATGTGTCCATTTGCCATTTAATGAATGGGATCGTAATAATAGGTCAGTTGGATGACTGTCCACTAACCACATAAAGCGTTTCCATACAATAAATTGCAAGTGGGACATGTGTCCATTTACCATGTAATGACTGGGATCGCCATAATAGGTCAGTGGGATGACTGTCCACTAACCACTTAAAGCGTTCCCATATAATAAATTGCAAGTGGGACATGTGTCCACTTGCCATTTAATGAATGGGATCGCTATAATAGGTTAGTGGGATGATTGTCCACTAACCACTTAAAGTGTTCCCATACAATAAATTGCAAGTGGGACATGTGTCCACTTGCCATTTAATGAATGGGATCGCTATAATAGGTTAGTGGGATGATTGTCCACTAACCACTTTAAGCGTCCCCATACAATAAATTGCAAGTGGGACATGTATTCAACTACCATTTAATGAATGGGATAGCTATAGTAGTTTAGTGGGATGATTGTTCACTAACGAAAGCGTTCCCATAGAATAAATTGCAAGTGGGATCTGTGTCCATTTGCAATTTATTGAATGGGATCCCTATAATAGGTTAGTGGGATGTTTGTCCACCAATCTATTAAACCGAAACCATACAATAAATTGCAAGTGGGATCTGTGTCCATTTG